GAAAAAGCAGAGGAAATACATGCTCTGGGTGAAACATGAGCTTGCCTATCCTGGAACTAGCAAAGGGCTGCTTTGTAGTTCATATCTTCTTGATGTGTGGGCTTAATTTCAAGCAGATGTTAGGTTACATCTTTAGAAATAGTATGCCATGCATTTTTAAATCATCCTTTAAAAATAAACAAGTGTGCTCTGGTACATGGCAGGTAGGGTGGGAAGCACTGATTATTTAAAAAATGATTTGCTTATCTTCACTGAATACATGACATACACTAACCAATCTTTTCTTTGAAATGTATTTGCACTCAGGGAGTGGAGAGGGTAGCATTTCTAGACTATCTCATCTTTAAGGGAAACAAACCTACAGCGACTCCCCCTCCTCCCCCTTCCATGCTCTCCACCACTGAACTGTGGACATCAGTTCTTGCAGTCCATTTTGTCTGCTTGTTTTTATTACTTCCTTCTCTTCAGGCACTTTCTCTCTCCACCCCCTTTCCTCCCATCTATTTTCCTCTTTAATGTTTTATATATATTTGAGAAGCATCACCTTGTAATTCCCCAGTAGAATGAGGTAGCTGCTGACTCATCCCTGTATTTGATTTTCTCACATTTGATGCTTTAATGGAAGATAATGAGTATTAAAAGAATCTTCCCTTTGGCTGTGGGCTGTTTGGAGAGAAGAAAAAGATGAGCAGTTGTGGGTATCAGAAAGATCCTCTACTTAGCTCTTACCCTGTCACGAACATGGCAAATGAGCACTTATTTTGTTAGATCTAGAAAACAGCTGAATTAGAACAATCCACACATTGTCAATATATTTTTATGTTCATTGTTATTTGTAGAACAGTTTAGTTTCTATGTTTTTCAGAGTTGAAAGAAAAATCTGTTATCCTCTTACCATAGTTTTGAAGTTTAAAATGGATACTTTCCCTTTTTGTTAATCTTGGCTCCTTAAATACTTCTTTATGTTCTTCTAGGAGAAATGGAGTATGGTTGCTTGTGATCTCAGCACAGAAAGGGAGCTACTCAGCTGACAGTTTTCACTCAGTTTCTTGCTTAAGGGTTGCATGAACCAGATGGGCACAGACCCTTAAGGTTGTAAGGAAACACCTGGATCTACCATTAGTACAGACTCTTTCCTTGAAGTTCTTCCAGAATGTGTATAGCTGTGTGGCTGTCTCTTTTGTGTAGGATTTATGAATCGCCTGTGTATTAAACAGCAGAATGTACAGTAGGTGGTGTAGGTCACTGTAGTGATGGCACCTTGGCATTTACCTAATTTTTTTTTTAGATACAAGGATGGACATAAAGAGTGGTTTTATTTAGTATCATATTCTGCTAAACATGACTGGTTCTCTGTTGATGGTTTTCTGCTTGATTGCTTATTCAATGATGCATGCTTTTTCTCCTGGAGCAGTCACAATAGCAAACACTTTCATCAGCCCCAATTGAAGAATGCCAACATGGTAATTGTGTCAGAACTACATGCTTATTTAATAGGCTGGTTGTTAACAGCAGTGTTTTTTTTTGTTTTTGTTTTTGTTTTTTGTTTTTGTTTTTGGTTCTTGATAAGCAGAAAAATCTTGACTTAGTATATTATATAACTCTACTGCTACTGATGGAGTTGGGCAATTCTGATGAAAGATTAATGAGCGTTGCTATAGTTTGAGAAACATTAGTTTTGGTTTTGCCTTTGCCCATTTAACTTTGTTACCTTAGGCAGATCCAGCTTGCTCAATCTTTTCCCTTACTGATAGAATAAGTGTATTAGACTAGATAATTTAACAATAACCAAAAAATAGTATTTACTGAATAAATGTTCACCACCTTTTGAAGACAAGTCTAGCTGTTACTGCTACAAATGAAAGAGAGAGCCCTGCCCCTGTGGATTTTCATTTTAGTGAAAAATGTAACCCTGATTTTTTTGGAACTACACCACACAGCACTGAGTTTCCACTTTTCTGGGTGGTGCAGTAAAGGCCTACCCACATCTGAGATGCTTCGAGTTCCAAGTGTGGTAATTATGGCGAATGCATGTGTTGCAATCCTGTTCTTGATGGCAGTGATTTGTTTAAGAAACCGTCTTACAAATAAAAGAGATAGTGTTAAGTTGAGCTCTTGGAGCTATTTTAAGAATATGATTATTTCGCCGGGCGGTGGTGGCGCACGCCTTTAATCCCAGCACTCGGGAGGCAGAGCCAGGCGGATCTCTGTGAGTTCGAGGCCAGCCTGGGCTACCAAGTGAGTTCCAGGAAAGGCGCAAAGCTACACAGAGAAACCCTGTCTCGAAAAACCAAAAAAAAAAAAAAAAAAAAAAAAGAATATGATTATTTACATAGAGTTATGCCTACCTTTATTGTTGACTATTCACAGCTCCATAAGCTGTTTCCATTGTTTTCTGTCGCATAACATCAATTTGAATGAGTGACACTTGTCAGCTCCGGGGTTGTGTACAGTGGTCATTGATATAGTTTGTGAGGCTCACCCTATGCTTGGTTCATCTGTGTTCTTTGTTTCCATAGTAGCAGTTTGTCTTCAACTTCTGCCCTTTAGCTTGTGATCACACGGCCAAGTAATGACTTTCAAATAGTATGTAATAATAGGTTTGGGTGGGGGCAGAGCTATTTATGGTGAGTCACAGAATGTGTTCCGTAACATGTCCTGTAATCACTTCCACAAACTGACGTGAATCTTTCTAGGAGTAGACCAGGAGTTTTGTGATTCGTCAGGTATTTCATGGATATTTTGAAGAACAGAAATTGCATGCCACCTGACAGTGGTCTCTCCTATGATTAAAATATGAACAGCTATTAATTCACTTAGCCTAACAATGGAAACTTGAGTTTTATGTTTCATTGCTTTCTGAATATTTTGGCCAAAAATCAGCTTCAGTTGATTGTTCTTGTTTCTTACAGCCAGAGTAATTAGAGAACTGCTGATTTATCTTGGTTGGCTTATCCAAGTGTGGGGCATTTTTCTTTTGACTTTACCTAGATAGTTGTTCAGCTCTCAGGATGTAATTAGAAAGTATATACTAGAAATCATCTCTGGGTTCTGCATGAATAATGAACATAATATTTTTAAATGGTTTTCTGGAAAAAGACATGGGAAAGAAACAATATTTTCTGTGCCGTATAGATGCAGTGATGTTCTTGTTGGCAGGCATTTTGAACTGTAAATACTTCAGGATAGGAAGTCATGTGTGGGTCTGGTAGTTAACTCTTCCCTCTTTGGTAGTACTGCTTTCAAACATACTGTCCTTTGGTCTTGCCATTTCACTATGTGTTTCTTTTGGCTGACATGCCTTTTCCTGTCTCTTCCTTGCATGAGGTGGTAGGAAAGGTTCTTTGCAGAATCCTCTAATATTGAACAAAACTGGTTTCCATGGTAATATTGTTAGTATTCTTGCTTGCAGCTCTCCGTCCATGTGACCACTACTCCCAGATAGGGTCTCGAGTGCACATTTAGTCTCTTTCAAAGCCTGTTTTCTCTGTTGGCCAGTTAGACATCTCCACAAGGCTGTCATCACAGCAAATTTAAAATCAAATTGTATGGCTCAGCTAGACCCTCTTTTCCTAGATATCCTATTTCCATGGATAACCTTCCCCCGTCTCCCATAAAGTCCTGAGATCTGTTTTCTCTTTTTCCGTATTCAGGATGGCCTCTGCCTTTCCCACAAGATTCAGTTCTTAGCCCCTCCCGATTGCTTTGGCCTTAGTAAAGAACCATGCCTGGATTACTGCAGCCATCTCCCAGGTAGCTTCCTGTTCTGTTTCTCATTTAAACATTACATCCAGGTTGGGCTGTTGAAACAGGAATCTGATCACATTATCCGTTAAGTTCTTGACCTCTAGAACCACCTCATTTCAGTCTGTGTCCGTGTGAAAGCGTGCATTAGGGCTCTCTTCTTATGACTAAACAGCATTCTACTCTATCAACAAGATGTGTTTTAAAAGCGTCACTTGTGTGGTATGTGAATCTGCCTTCAAACAAGTGTACTTTAGTTCTCCTTTGAAGACTCTGTTCATGTTTGTACCATTTAAAAGGCTAGCTGGGACGTCACCCATTGCCAGCACTGAGAACATCTCCGGGAGAGCTCTGCTGGGAAAGGGAGCAGAGTGAGCTGGCCCCATCCCCTGCCTGCTGTCCTTGTGGACTAGGTTTGCTGTACTTGAGAAGTCCCGCTTGGCTTGTGTACAGTTGAAACTAGCAGTTGTTTTTAGATTTAACTAAACTTTCTTTCATTAGTTGTGATGGAATAAATCATCTACTATATTTTTTGTGTTCTATAATACCTTTATTTAGTTTGTATTAGGACATTAAAATATTTTTCTTACACACACATACACAGACAGACACACAGACACATATGTGTATACATATAGTATTTGAGATTGGGTAGGGTAGAGGCTTGGAGTTTTGATTTTTGGTTTTAATCATTTGCTTAGAAGCTTAACTTTTGGAATAGTGCTGGTGAATTACAGGATTTAACATCAACAGCAAAGCAGTAATACAATTTTGTTTCAATATATATATGTTGCTGCCAAACACCCAGCATTTAAAATTAGTTCTTATAATACTTAACATTTCTATAGATTTTGGTTTTAATGTGTGAAATTGTAGTGAAATGTGTCTCAATACTTGCTAATACTGCTGACAACATTTTTTAAATAAAGAATAAAGGCTGAGTAAAACGAATCCTTAATCATTGTGTTAGTTGTTGTCCAGCTAGTTCAGATCCAGCAGAAGTAATCCCTGTGTCTTGAGTCTGGGTGGTTTGAGTTCCAGCTGTCCAGAGTTCCCCATTGTGATGTGTGGTTTGAGAGTTCCAGCAGAGCAGCCCTCAGTCTGTCTGCGCCTCTGACGCTTCCTCCTCAACACTGCCTTCTGCCTTTTTTTGTTTTCCTCTTCCCACCCTGTCTCACCCCTTTTGTCCCTTTGTCACCAGATTGGAAGTGGGAACGTTTCTAAAATACTATTTTGTGGTTCTTATTTTGTTGCAGTATAAGCTGTAACCATGACTACTGAAGTTGGCTCTGCGTCTGAAGTGAAGAAGGGCTCTGACCAGGCAGGAGCAGATGCACCTAAGGAGAAAGCTAAAGAAGTCACAGAAAATGAGCAGAATCAGTTATCTGAGCCAGAGGAGGAAAAAGGTTCCCAGCCAGGCCCTGCAGTTGAAAGCCAAAGTAGTCTCCGCCGGCGGAAAAGAGAGAAGGAGCCGTCTGAGAGCAGGGGCATTTCTCGATTCATACCCCCATGGCTTAAGAAGCAGAAGTCTTATAACTTAGTAGCAGCCAAAGATGGAGGAGATAAAAAAGAGCCCACTCAGGCTGATGCAGAAGAACAGACCTTGGATAAAGAGGACGCCCTTCCTGAAGAAGAGAGTCGGGCCAAGGGCGATGCAGAAGAAATGGCCCAGAGGAAGCCCCTCGAGGTTAAGGTGGAGGTCAAGGAAGAAAAGCCTTCCCTGAAAAGCAGTGCTGAGACCCAGGTGCGTTTGAGAAGACCGAGGGAGAACAGAGCCGCATGGGGAAGGGGTTGACTTGTTTCTCATTCCGTGTCGAGACGCTGCCTCGACTTCATGTGTCTGCAGTATAGAACTTGGAGTATTGTGCGTTAGTCTTCCCTGTGAGTCCTTTTAAAATTATTCCCCAACAGCAAAACAAAGGACCAGCACGGCAGCAACAGAACACACACCCCTCCTTAAGCACCTGTGTTTCTGATTCGGTTGAGCCGTCTGCCAGACCCTCCCACCTCCTCTGTTAAACCCCTACCCTTTATTTATCTTGGCTTTATTTATGGATTTAGTTGAGAGTAAGTAGTGGATTGTGTATGTTTTGTTTGCCTGTGGAAGCCTAGGTATTGCTGCGGTTTAAGCTTTTAGAAATTTTGTTATCTCAGTACTTTCAGTATAGCTACTGGGATATAGTTTCTTTTATTCATTTAATGCCCAGTTCACGAAAATACCCTTTCTTGCATAACTTTTGAGTCTTAAAAAGCTTAAATTTAAAGTGTTTAGACTGACGACCATAATTCTCATGAAAGAGTCTCCTTGGGGCTGAGGATGTGGCTGGAGCTCTTGCCTACCACATTCAGAACCCTGGATAGATTGGTTATCAGCACCGAAGGGAAAAGTGAAAATTTTTTTTTTTCTGTGTTGTCTTCTACAAGTAGGTTAACTTTAACGTGGACTTAATGTTTCCTTGGCAGCCTGCTGAAGAAGTGAGGAAGGACAGAGAAGAGGAGAAGATCAAGGAGACGCAGGAAGACAAACTGGAAGGAGAGGCAGCAAAGAGGGAGACCAAGGAAGTGCAGACCAGTGAGCTGAAAGCAGAGCTGGCCTCCCAGAAAACTGCCAAGAAGACCAAGACTGTCCTGGCCAAAGTGACCCTCCTGGATGGCACCGAGTACAGCTGTGACCTTGAGGTGAGGCAGGGGCTGAGCAGAGTCCTCTCCATGGGCAGAATGAAAGCACTCTGCTCTGTGGGCGGCGTGGCACAGCGAACATGTTTCTTGTGGCACCGAGTTCCTATAGGCCAGTTTATTGATTGGCCTCTAAACACAGTAACAACGGTGCAGAAGAGTCATGGTTTCCGTTTCGAACAGCACTGTTGACCAGGGTTGAGCGGGGTGATGTGCTGTGCGCACCCGCTGCTTGTGTGGTGTGTCTGTTCTGAGTGGTTGGCTCTGACTGCTGCCTCTGTAGGATGCCTTTCTTGGGAAATGATAGTTGTAAGCTGATTTTGAGAATAATGAAATTTTAGCAGTAAACTCTTATCCTGAGAAAGATAATGATATAATCCTAGATCATTAATTTTGTTTCATTTAGTAAAAAGGTACCTATCATTTGTAAAACAGGCAATTTATTAGCACCAGCTTCTTAGGATTTGTGTTAACTTATTTCTTTTCACAGTGACATCTACTCACATGGCATTTTCTCACATGCAGTACTTGGAATGGATCGTCATGTTTCATGAGGACTCCATTCTCAATGTTACAGTGGAATATAAAGGCTTAGATTCAGTAACTTGACAGGTCGCAGAGGAAGGGTTTACATCAGTAACTGCCAGGTGGAGCCAGCTTGCAGCTTTGGTACCTCGGTACCAGAGCTTGTGAACAAGTCTGCAGATTTGGAGTTTTGTGGGTGCTACAGATGATCTATCTTTCGTACTCACTTAAAATAGGGACTAAGCTTTCCTTTAGTCTCCTGTTAACAGTTTAAAAAAAATTGCACCAAATTCCTGGCATTCATATTTTAGCAGCTTGATAAAAACATCTGTGGCTATCTAGTTGAACCACAGTTTATTATATTTGAATATATTATATTGCCAGGCGAGGATACTCAGTGAGCATTTATAGTTCTTTTCTTTGTATTCACTGTATGTATAATTGTTATGGTACTTGAGGCATCAAAACTGCATTAGCAAAGAATTAAAAATCCTTGTTTTAGTTGGTTCTTGGTGTTATAACAAAATACTTTAGGAAAGGTAATTTTTAAAGAATAGATTCTAGTGGTTCTCAACCCGTAGGTCATGACCCCCTTGGGAGTCACATACCAGATATCCTGTATCAGATATTTATGTTATGATTCATAACAGTAGCAAAATTACAGTTAAGAAGTAGCAATGAAATAATGTTATGGTTGGGGTCACTACAACACTAGGAACGGTATTAGAGGGTTGCAGCATTTGGAAGGTTGAGAACCACTGAAATAGACTGAGAAATACATGATCAAGGTGTCAGTAGATCAGTATCTGAGGAAAAGCTGCCTTCTGTTTCCAAGATGACAACCTTCTACTAATTCCTCATGTGCTGCAAGGAGTTAATACCCTATTCCTTTCAAGTGCAAAGCAAAACAGAATTGAGTAGATACTATGCACCAGCAGCTCACTTGAGTTCTGAGCAGGGACTTTGTATCTGAACATAGGGTGTATGTAATTCATCACATCCTAGGAGATGTTGGAGCAGTGCAGAAGTTCCTTCGTGATTAATGTCTCTTTCATCTAAATTTTCTTGTCATTGTGGTTCTTTGGTTGCTTGGTAACATTAATTTGGGTCTGCTTCTCATCAACCCTGCTCTGTTCCCTCTTCAGGAGTGGAGCCCAGAGGGTGGTGAGCCACAGTCGAATGCTCTCATGCTTTCCTGTCTAGTGCTGGCCTAGACACTCGGTGATGTGCTGATGGTGCTTATCTGTGTTTCTCTAGATCACACCGGAAACTAGTGTCTGACTACTCTTTGAGGGAAGTATGTGTGGGAAACTGGAGCTCTTACTGAATTTTTGAGCATTTGAGAAAGGCACATGCAATGTGAGGCACAGACTTTGGCTTGGGAGAACTGTCAGTAAAGGTTGTATTTCTCTCATGGTTTTCCAGATGAATGTAGTTACTCTTTCATTTCTGTATGTACGCGTGTTAATTTTCAGTCACCCTTAGGTTTATGTAACATGCCCAGTAAAGAGGACCTAATGAATTTAACTTAGGGCATCCACAGTGGTAGAGGGAGCCAATAGAAAACTGACCACGAGCTAGGCGTTGTGGTGCGCACTTTAATACCAGCACTCTGGAAGGCAGAGGCAGGTGGATTGACTTTCTGGCAGGCCTGGTCTACAGTGTGAATTCCATCCAGAACAGCCAGGGCTTCACAGAGAAACCCTGTCTCAAAAAACAAAAAGAAGAGAGAAAACTGGCCACTGCAAGAAGTCACGAGGAGGTGGAATGTCTGGACTCATGGGCTCTTTATGGAACAGAGTGAAGTTTTGGAAGACCTCAAATACCAGTATAAGATTAAAAAGGACTCCAAGAGCAAGGGCCAAGATGCCTCTTAAGATTTGGGACATGTTAGTTGTGTTGTTGTGGTAACTGTATATTGGGGGTGTTAAAAATTCACTGCATTGGCTAGCAGATGGTCTTTGTAGGTGATAATTTTATATGATTTGTTTAAAATACTGCATCAGTTTGGCAAGTTCCTGTTTGTGTTAATTACCTATCACTGTTTTTGTTGACAAAGAAAGTGCTGCTATATAATGAATGTTTTTTAATACCAGGAAACATAATTCTGAGAGATATTTTTGGCTTATCTAAACATCATTTCTACTACTCAGATCACTCTATACATAGGTAGAATTAACATATAGGATATGTATAATGTGTTCATGTATATTATGTATTGTTTTTACTGGCTTGTACGTGTGTATATTTCTATATACCCATCAATATCCATTCTTCTCCTGTGTGTGTATGTGTGATGGGTATTGATGGGTATTGATGGGTATGCATGTACCTACACATACACAATCTATTTTTTTTTTCTTTTTAAGATGGGCTTAACTTACTAAAGTTGGCCTCAAGCTCCTGAGCTGAAGATGTCCTCCTCCCTTAGCCTTCCTGAGGAGCTGGGGCTGTAGACCCACATGTGACTTCCCCTTACTTTTTTTTTGGCTTTCTGTTTCAAAATTCTTTTTTCTTCTAAAGACCCCTGAACCTGTTCCTCCTGCTCTTGAGCCTCAGGAACCAGATAAAGACAACTGCCAAGTAAACTGGTTTTCAAAACCTGTAGGCGGCGGTGGTGGAGTTTTCCTGTTCTGCAGCCGCCCTCAAATAATCACTCGGAGTCTTAATATTAATTGGCCGAACATTTACCTGTTCCTAGCTAACTCTCTCACTGAAATTAACCCCGTGTTTCTTCTCTGTGCTTTGCCGCGTGGCTTGGTGTCTTTTCTCAGTACAGCATGCCCATCTTGCTCCCTGCACCTGCCAGCGACTCCCTCACTCTGCCCTTCTTCATCCCAGTATCCTTGGTTTGATCGTCCTGCCAATCAACTTATTAACCAGTGAGAGTAATACATATTCACAGTGGACAGAAGGATTATTCCACAGCAAAGCCCTTTTTGTCGTCATTGAAGTTGGTGTTCTTCTGAGGAGGGAGAGTGCGGGTTAAAAGAATGCCTCAGATATTTGCCAGCTCCCCCCAGAGGTGGAGGTGACAAGTAGATTGGATAGCGGTGCATTGTTAGGGGCTGGTAGGAATTAAGCTAAAAAAATACTATGGAAATGGCTTGATTGTCATGCTCTTTCTGGTTAATGAAGCAGCAATACATTGCTACGTCATGCATTTCCTTTTATCCAAAGCCTAGTATATTTTCATAATTTTGTTTCAGAGTGTTAAGTACCTTTTCACTATTGTTCATGAAAGTTGATATTTATGTTTTATTTTAATTTTATCATTTGTTGATAAATTTAATCACATACATATATTTTAAATCTTACTTTACTTACTTTACTTGAGGAAGGACTATTATTATTACTATTATTTTTGAGAAAGAACTCAAGATGTAAATAACCCTGGTTGGCCTGGAACTCTCCATGTAGATCAGCATACAGAGATCTACCTGCCTCTGCCTCCTGAGTGTTGAGAGTAAGGTGTATACCATCATATCCAATGAGGATTATTATATTTTTTAATGAAGGTTATATCAACTTTTATCTCATTAAGTTATCTAAATGATAGATGGCAACCTAGTTTGGTACCAGAGCTTAAGTTGTGAGGAATTTTAGGGTCCTCTGGATTCTGCACGTTGGCTCCAGATGCTTGGATGTGGGACTCTCTGTGATGCTGCTGTAGAAGTCATTTACACACTATGTGTGTTAAAACAGCGGGGCTCTTTCCTCTAAGGAAAAGTACAGTACGGTTTATTTGAAGTCATGGGTCTAGCCAGGAGACGGTTTAGTTTTCTGGTGACTCTTTGTATGTCTTGGACAAGGGACTTCCTGTCTTTTCTTCTATTCTCAGACTGCAAAGTAAGAATGAAAATATTGGCTTCCTTTTATTTCTCAGATTGAGCTGGGTTTTCTAGAGTTTGTAAACCTGTATATATTTTTTAAGGTTGGAAAATAAGTGTGGAAGTCGAAGAGACTTGAGAAGCGTGAGTCCATGTGCATTCTGACCGAAGGCTCACATTTTCCTCTGGCAGCTGCGAGTTTTTCCCACATGTTGATTTTGTCTGAGAATTGAAGGCATTGTTTTAGCCCACACAGGAATGTCACAACCATTTTTCCTAAGGCAATAAGAATGCAAGCTCTCAGCAGCAGTGTTCTGGTGATAAAAGTATTCATCAGAGAGCAGAGAATGTGTCAAGGTCCCCAGGCCCTCTTGGTACTGATTTTGAGTCTCAGAAAACCCTATTTGGTATCTTTGCTTTCTGAAGTGGTATGTGTCTGTGTCTACTTCTGTCTCCCCGGGTTGGTTTTCAGACTACAGCCATCACCCTGAGAGGTGAAACAGTTGAGTCATTTCAGCTATCCTTATACTTTTGGAGGATCTAGAAGTTATGATACTTGATACTCCATAAAATACCACATAGAAGTCGGGGAGGGTGTATTTGGAACTGGGAATAATTTATGTGCAAATTAAAAATTTCAGTGACTAG